GAGAAAGGAGAAAGGAAAGGAAAAGTAAGAGAAGCACAAAAGGGAAAAAGCGGAAGACAGTCGAAAAGAAGGGAATTGGACGTGAAGTAAAAAGGTATAAGAATAAAAAGAGAGAGAGGTGGCTTTTTAATTATTTTCTTCCTCATCCATTATTTACTTTCTATTCCTTTTAATTCTGTTGTTCTCTTTTTATTTCCTCCTCTCCTTCTTCTCCCTATTCCTCTTTATCTTCTTCTTCATCTTCATCATCCTTTTCGTCCTCTCTTTCTTCCTCTTCTTTTGTATTATTCTCCTCCGTCCTCTTCCTTTTTTTTTCTCTTTCTTCGAATTTCTAATGCGTTCTCGTGTAAAACTAATGTCAGGAGTTCTATAGGTACAATTTGAGCATTTTAAACTGAGGTGACACGACATCTAGAATCCAAGTCTTGCCGGATTCTTTGATCGCAGTGAATAATGGAACCTTGTTATCGAAAAATTCAAAATCGAGAGTTGATCGTAGTCAAAAATGAACTTTTGAACCAGACTGCAAGACTGTTTCGCGTTGAACATTAGTTAAAACAAAAGTTGAAGCTCACAACTCGGTTCTAGACGGGGCCACCCAGGCGCACAGGCACCCAGTGAAAAACCTGGCACCTCCCCGATCGAGCCCCAGTTGTTGCCAATTGGCACAGAACATTTTTTGAGCCCCTCATGGACGACCAATTTTTAGTATACAAAGTTTTAAGTCTCTGCCGTCAAAATTAGAGAGATGAGTTTAATTAGCAAGCGCGATGTGTCACCTTCATTAACAAAATATTGCTAATCTAGTTCACCTTTGTTGCGGTCGAGAAACATATTGCTGACTGCGCGTTTTTTTAAGAGATGATTCAGACTACATTGTGAAAAGAAAACTCTTAGAATCATTAAACAAACCTGCATGATGTAGAGTTTCATTCGGCTCATTGTCGGTATTCATGTTCAAGCATGATGATTCTTGCGTTTGCCGCAAAGAGTTTTTCTCATCTTGAATCAAGCTCTCTAGGATTCAGAAAATGCTTGGAACAAGCAAAAAAGTGGCTTAAATTTTGATTCAAGAAATAATATTTCCAGGCGGCAAATCTCATATTTATTTTTCTAGATATGGTAGACCTTAAGTAAAATTTCGAAAAAAAAATGTGCTTATAAACAGTCACCTATCCGGTTATATTCCACGTTTCCCAGCACTTTTCATGTTGAAATGTTCGTAAAAAACTTTTCTAAATATTAGCATTTATTTCTCAATTTCGAGTTTCCCTGCTATTTTTTACCTCGAAGGTGGATACGACTGTCATAGTTAAGATTTCACAGGTCATATAATTTTTCAGGTCCCTGTTTTCACAGTCAAAAGTGAACTTCGTCGAATTTTAACCACTCAAATTATTATCAATAGTTTTTCGTATGGTTTTTGATAATTTTAGGAAAAACGGAGGACTCACTGAATATTTACACTTCGAACAGTACTATGTTCAAGATCGTTTTCTCAATGATTCATTTTTGAATTTCCTGCTCTCTGCTGGGACACGGTTTCATTGGTTATGGTTTCCCCGCGGGTGTTAGGCTATGCAGAGTGGCAGCACTGCCAGATCCGTGGTGGGACGTATTGCGGGTGGCCGCAACCCCGTTTGCAGGGGCTTGACACCTCGAGCCGCGACTGCCGCCTGGGGCCACACACACCATCAAAACATACGCGTGTCATCGACTGTTGCGAGGAATAAGAACATAGCGAGGGAATTAAAAAGAAGAAGAACCAAGCGAGGGAGGGGGAAGAGGAGAGGGCGGCTTTAAAAATAATATTTATCCGCTAGTCGTCAAGCTTCGATGTTTTCACTGTTTAATCCTTGATTCATATTTCAAACAAAGTCGGTTCTCGAATCGACCGCGCTCCGCCCGCCCTTTCCCGCCTCGGCACCCGGTTTATTCGGTTCATCGGCTAAAATAGCTGACGATGGAATAAGTGAGGCTCTGTTGCCTCTGTTTAAAATATGTTTGCTGCAAGTCAATTTTGAATTTATGGTTGTTATAAAATGATCCTGTCAGGAAAAAATTAGTGCACACATTTTTCACGAACATAGCACTCCCAGTGTTCTAAGAGGCTTGCGTTCTTTCTTAATTTTAAAAAAGTATACCCAACTCGAGGTTTCCTCGAAAATTGTGTGTTTACACGATTCCGAATACAACGTTTTGGTACACAAGTCTATTTATGGCCATGAAACTTTTACGCACAGTTGCATTTTTTTTTTTTTTTATGAATAGAACTTTTCGATTGCGAAAATACATGATTTAATGTCCAATGTTCAAATTTAAAAGCTCTGCTCTTGTAATTGGACTGCATTTTGCTAAAAGGAACCAAGAGCATTCCAATGTCCCTAAGATTGTGCGATTTTTTTTACCTCGCAAATATAAACTGATCGTCTGAACAAGTTTTATCTTTACTCCCAATAACCTATAGTCTCAAGACGAAAATTACCTTTGTAAAAGTATTTTGTGCATGATCTCAGCAATTTTATTGCAAATAATGCAAGTTGCACAATCCTTACAACATTGGAATGATCTTGGCTCCTTATTGCAAAGTGGAATCCACTCATGACTCTAAAATCTCAGTTTCTGGAATTAATTCCTAAATATTTTTGCGACAAAAGTTATTTAAAATTTAATTTTAATTAAATTCCTAATTTTAATCACTCTACCACATGGGATTTGCTGTGGTGAAATCTTCGAGTTTCTTGAAGAGACGTTGAGTTCTGACTGCTTTAATCAATTTTGGCCACATCCGAGCATTTTGGCACCAGAGCATTAAAGGTGCATGAGCCGAACGAGCGATCAAAATGAGTGAAGCGTGACGCACGATGAAACTAACCGTGGCAGAGCGAGCGGTACTGCACTGATATGCAGAGGCTGGCAAATAGGGCATACTCCAATGCCGCAGTTTTTTTTCCCGGAATCCCACACCTAACAATAGGCCCAGCACTCTTCTCAAAAAATGTCCATAAAAATTAATCAAACTTTGCTCGTGTCACATATTTTTCCTCTGCAGATCTGAGCAAAACTTGTGGGGCACATTGGATCGAGGCAATTGGAGAGGTCGGAGAAAATTTGGAAATATAAAGCGTATTACTCCGTTTAAATAGACTTTAGATTTTAAAGTGGCTCCAAGGGTTTCCTCTTAAAATTCTCTTTTAGAAGCACCCCATACAAATTCATAATTCGGCTTAATGGGTTTCCTCTTGAAATGCTCTTTTAGAAGCACTCCATAAAAATTAAAATGTGACGAAATAATTATCAAAATTTGCCATTTAAGTTAAAAATTTTATCTCCGACCGCCCTGATTGAATCGATCCATTGTGTAGCGGTGGCTTCGCTGAATATGTTCTATTGCCATGTCGCTGAAATTCGAGTTACCGAGAGACGTGACTGAAATTTTATCTAAATGCAAAGGAGACTGATTAATAATTACCACACTGAGAGCTCGTCCATTGGTTATGCCAGTCCATATTTCAGGGGAAAATTTCCCCCCGTAAAAGATATCATCCATCCTGTAATTTGTTCCATCAGAAAATAAAGGAGTTGTCTCCCTCCCCCTTCCCAACAACTACGAACAAAAAGTGGTAGAATTAGAACTCGTGCCATTCATCCGCAGTGAAGCTCAGCTCGTAAAGTTTCCTACCTTTCCCCAAAAAACCAGCTTTTTGTAGTCTAAAAGCAGTGGGTATATGGAGCTTATGTGCAGAAGAAAAAACACCCCTACGAGGAGAAAAAATTCGCGCAAAAAAGACATTCACAGCGTTTTGCGTCATAGTTCTTTGACGTCATTGGCAAATGTCACGGGGGTGAAAAAACTATCTTGGAAATGTGTCCAATTTTTGTGGTATCTAACTACTGTACAGGTGATCAGTTCAACGGTTTTTCATTCTGTTTCTTTTTTTGGCTTCGACCTTGACTGAAAAAATTGTAAATTTGAAAAAAAATCATAAAAAATATATGCAGAAATACACCCTTTCATCGTATCAAACTTCAACAAAGTGTCACAAAACGAAACATTTAAAAGTTACAAAAACATTATTCAGATGAAAAAGTCATAAAAAGGGAATCCATCCCATTTCATTTAATGGCAGAAGACGGTCACGATATGGCTAATCTCACTTTTTTCATTCAAGAATCAATAAATTTGAGTCTCATACCCTCAAATTTTTTGGAAACATTCAAGAAAAACGTTTCGAAGAGCAAATTCCCGCGAACTAAGTGCACTCTTTCATTTTTGAAAAAAAGATGATTTAAATGTCACTAAATAAACTCATTGTCGTCTGCCCCTTCTGTTGACTTTTGAGCTTTGAGACTAGTTGCGCCCCCAACAAGTTTACCGACTTTTGGCTTGACTGATGAACAGAGACAGGAGACCCTCCACTCGTATCTTGGCAAAAGTGGAAGCTTTTATACTTCCAGGACTTCAACATTCAATTGTTGACCTACCTACCAGGTTTATGTTGAACAACGTGTTAGGAATTTCGTCTCGCAAACATACCGAAGTTTGGCAAACTTGTTCGGCTCATTTCGTCACCCAAAGCTCATCAGCCACCTAGTAGGTAAGATGACTGTTGCTCCCTTATAATTGTCTATAAGGTATAAGGAAGTGTTGAATCCCCGAAAGTAAAAACGTCCACCTGTCTTCAAGAGGAGGTCTTCTGTCTTTGAGTACGCTCAACAAAACCGATTATCGGCTTGATTTATGAACAAACTGCTCAACACGTTGCTCAACAGTCACCAAGACGGTAATTTCAAGGGTTCAATAGTGGATTCCAGCCGATCATGCCACCCATTCTCTTGTCCCTACTATACACTTTTTGAATCGTTTCAAATCCAAAGCGACGCGGTGCGACGGAACTGGTGCTCGTTTTGTTTGCCTTTGAAAATGCCTCTCTAATGTTTTAGAATTGACGTTATGTTTTAACTCTAAATTAACGCTCTTTTTCTTCGATTGTTCACAGGACGGAAGGAAGATGGGTTACGGGAGCATGCAAGGGATACCGATGGTGGCGTCAAGTCCGGTGCGGCACGAAAGCCCCATCGGGATGAACCCAATCGAAGTGCAATCTTATCAACCACCATGGAAAGCCTTATCAGATTTCGCCTTGCATACAGACTTAGATCGACTAGACCCCTCCGCTCCGCCCTTCCAGCACTTGGTAAGCCAGGTAAGCCCTTTAACACTGTCATCAAGCTCATTTCATACATTGAACCTGCGGAGCGTCCAATCGGGTCGAAATTCTGCGAAGAGTAACAAAAAAGTAGCACTCCAGTAATGATTTTAGATGGATCGGATGCACCAACATTAAAATCACCAGACCTTGAAGCCTGAAGGGAAAATGTGTGTCATTTCCAGTAAAATTGAAAGTTTAATCATTTTGAGTTGAACTTGTCCTCAAGTATAAAATGTGCAAATTGAAATGTCAGAACTCAATTCCGAGATTTAGACAGCTAGTAAATTATTTTACGTCGCATGGTTCCATTCAATTTTGTTCCACCTCAAAATGGAACCCCCGTGTCATAAATCCCTCAAATTTAATGAAGACATACGATTTTTTAAAGTTTTTCACAGCTTTGATAAATTGATTTCAAATCAGTAAGTTTAATCGATTTCAAGAATTCTACCCGATTGGATGACCCTCCTCATCATCTCAGATTAACCTTAAACCTATACATTTTGCTCATTTTTCAATCGATAAACGTACTGCAATTGAAATTGAACAAATACCTAAGCGCAAAGTTAAGTTTGCGCCCCCGCACTTTTTCGAAAGGGATTTGGGGGATCCCCAGCCCAAAAAGTAGTTTCGTGAGGTCTCTATCCAAAAAAGTCGGAAAATAGACTGTTCGCACATACATTTAAAGTTTGTTATGGTAAAGAATTTGACCGCATTCCACGAGTATAATTCAAGGTTCACCTCTACCCGTATTTCTCGAAAATCATCTCAAGGTTCCTCTTTTTCCCATCATATCATTCAATGAACGAAGAAAATGTACTCGTTCTAGGGTACTTTTCATTGCATATTTTATAGGGGAAGAGCATCTGTCCTGCCCCTAAAAAATACTACCCCTTCCAAACCCTGACCCCCTCCCCCTTAAATATACTATTTCAAATTGTGGACGAGGGGAGGCCTATCCGGTAAGGAACTATACCCATTGGCAATTAACCTTAAAAAAATGAATTTCCCCTAAATTTCTTTGAGGAAGCAATGCTTCTGTAGCGTCTACAAAAGGAATGCCACCGGTCCCATTGACCAAGTGTAACAGAGGCCCAAAAACGGACAGTGGCGCGCCCAGCCACGTGATTCACCCGGAATGCAGGGAAAAACAAACAAAACAATAAGGTGCGAGCTGGTCCCGAATTTCACCCTTTCCGCAGACGGAGACGAGGTTGGCCGCCTTAAAAAACCGCGGGGGCGGGGGGAGGGCGGTCGGAGGAGGGGGGCCCGGGGGGGGGGCGCCAAGTTCGCCGGCTCTGAATGGGAAACGCGGGATGGGCAATAAACCCGGGGCCGGGGCGCCACCTACCTGGAGCCGTCGACGCCACCGGGATGACAGCTTCGCCGATAATCTCCCAACAGACACCGAAGACTAATTAACCGGTTTATCAGCGCCACGGTCGCCCAGCGCCGCCGCCGCCGTCGGAGCGTCCGTCCCTTCCTCCCGCCGGCGTTTCCCTCGCGCCGCGCATTCATGTCATTTTTCGATTTCACATTTTTTCGGGGTCCGAAGGGGGGGGGGGGGTGACATGTCTCTCCGGCTTTTGACCTCTTCCGATTTCAGCTGCTCCAGATTTTTCCTGGTTTCCTTGAGGTGGTCGAAATATTGGTCAATCAAGTCATGGGCGGATCTAGACACTTCAAACAGGAGGGGGACGTCAGGGGGGTGTGGGGGCTTTCGCTTAGAAAATTTGCAAAATTTTGAAGCATCTTATATACAGTTCGAGTCGATTTCGTCATGAATAATTACCCATATTCAGGCGTCCTCCCTTCCTTCTTACTATGTTCCCTTTTTCTTCCTTCTATTTTTCGGGAAAGTACACCCCCTACGCCCCCCGTCCCTTGAATCTGCCTATGAATCGAGTAGAGGGACACGCCCGTGGGTGTAAGGTGACGGTTCGCCGAATGTGATTGCCGAACATGCTCACTAAAAGCGCCAAGACCGTTGAGTGCAGAACTTAGATCACACGCTGAAAATGGGAGTAATTGTTGCGATCATTGGTAGTCGTCTGAAATTTTTAAAACTACGCCCAATTTTTAGCAATAGACACAGCGGGAGCATAATCAGTAACGGGTTGACTTAACTGTTCTAATAAAATAAGGAACTGAATAGTAGAATTTAACTAAATTACGACTTTTCCTTTCTTTCTTCTGCGTGTTTCCTCTTGAGAATCACATATCGATGGTCAAAGAGCGGAGCCGTGTATCTCCGTTTGTGACGTTTTAGACTCCCTGTCATACTTTATTATTCCTTTAGAAAACTATAGTCACCCTTTAATTGAAAACATTTTAGATTTGTTCTCTCTGTTAGAAAAATATTCTACTTAAATTTCAAGCTATGAAGTTAGCATTTTTCTCATTGGAAAAAATGTCAAAGGAGCAAAAACGTTGAGACATCACAATGGAGACACGTGATTTCGCATCTGGGCCCTCGATATTAATTATAATTCATCCTCTATTTTGATCAGTCCAATTCCTAAAGAGAGGGATCGCATTTTTCACATCATCCACTTTCTATACCGTGTTGCGTAGGGGTAACTCGTGTCGAATTATAAAGAAAGAAAAAAAACGAGGAAAACGCGGAAAAAATTCCGAGTCGCAGACTTTCTTTGCTCGATTATTCGCCGCGCAAGTTCGAGCTATACAATAATTAGGTATAAAAAATGTATATTTTTTCCGGAGCTTTGGTTCCAATCAGAGCATCAGCGCGTAATTTGTGCGGATTAGCAGCGCGCGCCGCGTCAGAGTCGAGTCCAGCTGCCGTGCTAAGAAAATACGCCACATGAACCTATAGGCGTTGCCAAATTTCCTTCGATAAAATACGAATTTTCAAGGAAACTGTTGGATATTTTCCTTTAAATTTTGCAGAAAATTTCGTACTCAATTTAACACAATATATCTGCAAATTTTAAGGAAAAATATGCATAACTTACCTCAAAAATACATGTTTCATCCGGGGGAATTTGGCAACTATGAAATGTTCATGTGGCGTTTTTCCTGAGCACGGCAGAGCTCCTGACTTGGAAATTCCTCCCCCGCTGTCCGTCCGACTCCGAATGCAACAATTTCACATTGATTTAAGCGAGAACTCACTCTCAATTTTCCCTCCTTTGACAACGATGCGCCTGAGCCCCTGGTCTCGAAAACAGCAGCACCCCTCCCCCACCTGGTCACTGTCTCGATCTTATAATCCGAACATGTATTAATCCCCCTTCCGTACCCGTTAATCCCCCAGTTGTAAACCTTAAGTTGGTTTTCCGTGAAAATCCCCTTCGCGTTTACAACTGCGTCTTCCTTTGTTTGCACTCGTTTGAACCATTAAAATTTTACGTTGTCGGGTAGTGGTGTTTTCTGCATGCGCACAGTGCGTAATCAGAGAAATTTGGGGATGAATTAATATTTATTTGTTATCGATCACGAAAACTTGAATAGAAAAATTGAGAGTATCAAAAACGTAATGTTGGATGTTGGAAAATTAAGTGCAAAAAGGCGAGATTTGTAGACACAGATCTTAAAACGGGTGAATATTCCTGCGCGGATGATGTTTTCTTGCCTACCTCGAAAATTGAAGGCGAAATGTCAGTGTGCGTAACTTTTATATCCCCTTTCTCGTCAATTTAGCTTTCTCTAAATTTTCAAGAAAACGCTACTGATTGGTGCTAGCGCGTGGTAAATAAAACAGTGTAATCAACGCTTTTGATGAAATTGCTCAAATGTATGAGTATGCGCTCAATCTATGGATCTGTGTTTTACGACTGGTTGTTTAAAATAACCGTAGGCCCAGGAAAATGGGTGTTCTAATTTTAAAAAGAACAGATCTTAAAATGGGTGATTATTCCTGCGCAGATGATGTTTTCTTGCCTACCTCGAAAATTGAAGGCGAAATGTCAGTGTGCGTAACTTTTATGCCCCTTTCCCGTCAACTAAAAAGAAGAAGAAACGGTTCATGCTCGGTCGAAATTATTTTAGTAAATCTAGTCGATAGATTTAATCTGATATACCTACTGATGGTCAGAGGCAGCGGGGAAAGGATTATAATTTTACTAAATCTGAATGGAACGTGAAAAAATTTGGAACTAGAATTTCAGTTCTGAAGCAACATAAATGTAGATCTAATATAATTCCTAATTTCACGCCCGCTTAATTGTTTGAATGAGATACCCATGAACTAATCAACGAAGTGTCTTTTTGTTGACAGATGCATGGTTATGATGCTCACCACGGAGGCCCGCCAGCGCCCCCCTCGCTTTTGGACCTGGGGCCGCCCCCGGGGGACATGGCCCACCCGGACTCCACCGATTCCTACGTCACATATTTGGAAAGCGACGATAGTCTTCATCACGATGCGCCCAGTCCATAACGGTAAGTAAATCAAACAACCGAAAATTCATTTGAAACAGAGGGCATGGAGGGGGGGGGGGTCACGAATTATGGATGTTCAGTAATGATTACAAAAATCTAAAATTGTTTGCCTAAAAATTAAATTTCAACTCATCAACTGCCTGAAAATAAGGAAGCAGGAGTTAACCAATAATTATGATTTTTTAGAACAGTTTGCCAAGGTCTGAAACTATTTGTCCAGTATTCCAGTCTCAATACATCTGCAGACCATAAAAATTTTAATTTATTCTCCTCTTTTTCTGTATTTTTTCGTCGCCTAATATTAAAAAAGTTGCAAAATTATCTCTGTAAAATGGGGGGAGGGAGGGGGAGGGAGAAAAGAACATGAATTAAATTAAGTTCCCGAGAAAATTGTGAACCATGCGCTAGAACTGTACAATTTTGGTTTCACCCTCGTTCTTCGACCTATTCCATCATAATGAAAATTCGTTACGAGCATTTAAGAAGTAACAGTAAACATCACAATTTATTAGACCTGAGGCTCAATTGTTGAGTCGATATCGAACGACCTTGATCGATATAAAACATCGCCAAGATAGGGATTTGTCGATCGGGATCATTCGATAACGATTCAATAATCGACCCGCTTCTTCTTTGCGTTTAAATCTTGATCGATGTAATTTACGGATTTCAATGCCCCTAATACATTATTCACAGTAGAAATGTTACTTTGGTAAAAATAGCAACTTTTTAAGTTCAATGAGATGATAGGTCAAGCTGGCTATAGCCTTGAAGAACATCCCATATTGTTGACTAAATGTTTTTTTCATTTTTGTTTTCAGGACATTATACTGGCCCGTTCAGCATATTTCAGACAACGCCACCATCCGAACCTCCTGAAACCTGGAACAGCGACTGCTAGGCCTGAAATCGAGTTGTAAAAGTAGCTCACTTTCCATCGAGAGATTATTTATCTCGTTCTCAAATTTGTACAACAGCTCATTAAAAATTTCAGGCAAGCAGTCAAATATAACACTCAGTCTGAGTTGGACCATTGTTAGCGCGAGAGGAAACTCGCTGAATATTATTGATTGAATATAGCTACCCTCATTTCCAGTTGATATAGATAGTTTCTCTTAAATGAATTACTTATTTTCTTGTTTTCGGTTGTTTTTGTAAATATCTATTGTCATACGTACATATAATTTATTTATTATTTGTAAATCAATTTATTTGAGCCCTTCTCCGAATAACATAGATGAGTTCTTTAAACAAAATATGTGATAGAAATCGATTAAAACTTGTAAATGTTTGTTTTAATTAATTATTGTACATAAAAAGTTGCTACCTAATTTTAAGGGAAAAAATCAAATTTCATAATTAAATTAAATTGAATCGAAATTCTCTCTTGAGTTCCTCTTTTACTCTTCCCCATCATTCAACACCAAAGTTTGCAAAAAGTCTGAAAAGAAAGAACTTTTTTAGATAGAAATTTTTAGAATAATGACAGGATTTTCTCTGGACAGCAAACATTGTATAACCCTGTTTTAATCAATAACCTATATAGCAGCTTGATTCTGTAACTTTCATATCTGGTTTTTGTCGCTTACCTATCTTTGACCAACTCTGTTCAATTGACATTACTGCTTCATCGAATCGACATATCGTATTGGTAACACGGGTTCCGCGCAGGGTCAAGCAAGCTGAAGTAGAAAAGTTTAATTCCAATTACTAAAAACGATTGACTGTGTTACTGTACAGATCAATAGGAAGGCTATTCTTAGATACCTATGCATCGTTTGAGAAAAATTAAAAACAATTTTTAGTCATCAACATTTATATACTTAATAATCCACCCACGACCGCATGTGTCAAAGGGTTAGCAAGCTTTTGACGGCAGTAAAACTACGAAAATACGCATCTCGAGTGCTATTGTTTAAATTTATAGGAATATCATGATACACGCTTGCACGAAATTTTCAGAGGACATTTTTAAAAAGGCAAAGACGAATCACGCAAAATATGCAGAAACGGTGATCAGTGATCTTTCAAAGGACATTTTTAAAGGATATTTTTCGATAATACTGCCGTGATAAGGAAGAACGCCGTATGAACATTCGAGAGTTGCCAAATTTCCTTCGATAAAATGTTTATTTTCCAGGAAAGTTATGAATATTTTTCCTTGAAATTTTCAGGAACTTTACGTATAAACTTGCGAGCAAAATTATCTAAAAAATTGGACGGAAAATATTCATAAGTTTACCAGGAAATTCATGTTTTATCAAAGGAAATTTGGCAACGCCTCGAGGTTCATACGGCGTTTTTCCTTAGTACGGCAGAATAGGTATGTGGGAGCAGAGGATTTTAAGAAAAATGCAAACCGCAACATACACAATTTCTTTATTTCTGCGACCTTGCTTCAACATTTTTACTTTGACTGAGGGTAGCATTTGATCATAAGGGAGAGTACTCCATGAGTGCGATTCAATGATCAGAAAAGCCCTGAGGGTAATTGGTATCCAGCTTAGTAGCGCCTATCTTTCCTCCGCTGCGCACGGTCGACACTTTAGAGTAATTCCCTCATGTTATGGGGGCACGTGTCTTTCTCAAAACCCCTCCCCGCCCTTCCCGAGCATATTGAGCATCGTTCAAATCAAAACGGTGGTTATAAAAAACTAAAAATGTTTCCACCGATTAGAAACCCGTGGCGCGGCAGTGCGGTAGGTCCCGCGTCTCATCTCACTTCTAACCAGTGATGCCGACTGAAACAATACAAAAAAATAAAATAAAAATAAAAATAAAAAACTCTAAAATGACTGCACGTCAAGCCTCTTCTGTCATCAAGGTATCTTTGTATCATTTAGAATGAATATTGTGCATTTTTACTGTTTTTGTAGTCAGACAACAGTATGTTGGAGTTTTTTAGCCATCGAGCGTTAAAAATCAGCATAAAGCTGAAAATCTCAATACAGAGGGAAAAGCTCATATGAGCACAGCATATATTTAACAGTAAGGTATCTTTGTATCATTTAGAATGAATATTGTGAAATTTTAACTGTTTTAGTAGTCAGACAACAGTAAGTTGGAATTTTTTAGCCAACGTGTGTTAAAAATCAGCATAAAGCAGAAAATCTCACTACAGATAGAAAAGCTCATATGAGCACAGCATATTTTAAACGCACGTTGGCTGAAAAATTTCAACTTACTGTTGTCTTACGACCCGTGCGTCTACCGCAATCAGTTTGTGTTTTAGTAGTCGATTTAGAAATTAGGAGGTGATCGCTTTAAATTTTGAAATTCTTTAAAATTGTCATCTCCATAATCCACTATGAAAAGAAGAACTATTTAACTAATTTAACCTTCTCAGAAACGAGACATGAGTATACATTTCTTTTTCTTCCCACCACCTTTAGCTGTAAATATAATTTTCGCCACTCAAGAGCAAAGAATTGTTTTGGGAGTACCTATCAAATTTTCACCAACCAATTTTACAAGTTTAGATTTTGAAAGGAAAATTGTCAAAACTTGCTGTTTTGAAGGTAACAATTAATCGAAGATCAGTAAAATAAGTTATATCTGACTATATTAGACTTAATTTAGATACAAATAGAAATAAAAGTGGCCTTAATGTGTCTATGAAGCCTCCTAGGACGAATTACTTATGCATTTTCAAAAAAAAAAAATGGCTCAGCAAGTCCAGGCAATTTACCAACAGGACATGATGCGAGAAAATTCAAAACATCATAAATGGTACAAACGTCATACATTGATCATTCATCTCTTCCTCTCATTTCGCGGGAATTTAGTGGCATTAGAGTGGCAATGATTCCAATCCTTGCATTTGAAACAAAATTAAAAGAAAATTTCCCAATATCAAGTTAATTCATTGAATTTGTTCAAATCATGTTTCGGTATGGGACGTAAGGATCAATACAGGTTATCAATCTTTAAATTTCTTGAATGATCGAGTTAAATAATACTCCGAACCACCGAATATACTCACATTGCAACAACACGTGGCATCGCCCAGCATAGGATCACAGTTAGACCTGTTACAAGTTGGTAGGGTATTTGGTAGGTTTTCTTCCTTTACATCCATCTTTTTTTCTTCTTTTTTTGTGTATGTGTTTGAGCGGAGAGGTGAAGATTCCGAGCAGGAGCCGTTGTGGTGGTGCCGCTAATCTGGCACCTAGTTTGACAAGCGGTCCGAGCATAAAATCCTCCTACAACACCTTATTCATCCGCTCAGCAACTCCCTCATCGATGTCTGGTAGCCAGATTGCACCGAAATTTACAGAGAATTTGGTGAGAATTACGGAAAATATGACCATTCGTGTAGAGTACCTCTGAAGGGAGAATAAGGTCATCAAAGGATCCACTTCTGACTGGCTTAGCAATCATTGGCTTCGTGGAGCACTTTAAGAACCAATAAAATGGCAAATTTTACATTCATATGACTAAAAATTATAACAGCCAGATTGCACCGAAAAATTTACAGAGAATCTGGTAAAACCTACAGAAAATATGACCATTCATGTAGAGTACTTCTGAAAGGAGAATATGGTCACCAAATGATTCATTTTCTGATCGGCTTAGCAATAATTGGCTTCGTGGAACACTTTAGAAACCAATAAAATGGCAAATTTTACATTCAGGTGACTAAAAATTACAAAAAATCAGACATTCTTCGTTTTTGTCGAAATGAATTTTACTTTAATCACATAGCAAGGCGCATTTACTCAGTTCGAAAAAAAAGTTCTGCATTACTCTCGAAAAAATCTGTTCAAGCTAGTCCTCGACTATGACGATTTTTTTTAAGGTTTCCAAAGGATCTACTTCTGACTGGTTCAGCAATCATTGGCATCATGGAACACTTTCGAAACCAATGAAATGGCAAATTTTACATTCACGCGACTAAAAATTACAAAAAATCAGACATTCTTCTTTTTTATCGAAATGAACTTTACTTCAATCCCATAGCAAGGCGCATTTACTCAGTTCGAAAAAAAGTTGAGCATTATTCTCGAAAAAATATGTTCAAGCTAGTCCTCGACTATGACGATTTTTTTTTTTTTTTTGTTCCCAAGGGTGTTCATGAAACCAAGTATGTCCGTGCATGTATGTCTTTATGAGTAATGATACTTTACATGCACGATGAGGAAAGGAACCTAAATTCCGAACAAATCAAAATTGAGATATACCGTCACCATACTGATCAGAGTAGTGTTTTACTAGTTTATGAGGTATACTTCTTTTCTCAACAAAATGTCCAGGTATGATTTATGAAGTCGTCGGGATAAGCACTTTGCCATGCAGGCTGGTTTTTGCAAAGTCGGTTAGGTATCCTAAACCAACTCTTGGTAACAAGTCATTATTGGGCGAATCTGAGCGTTATCTTCCGCAGTATATTTTATTTTACACCATAAAAAAAAAAAAAAAAAAAAAAAAAAAAAAAAGTTAGTGGTGCTCCTGCGGTCATGAATCACAGAAAAATCGCAGGATATCATGTAAAGTAGAAGATTTAGGTGTAAATTCAATCAGACATTTGGCAACTTGAACACATGCTTGGTGGCGATTAGCTTTAAGACGTCCGTCCGATGTCGTTTTTGCGAAGAATTACCATGTTAATTTTTGCCCCCCCCCCCTTGCGTAACATCACTTGTTGTCTTTGCCTCATTTTACATTCCGTAAGGGCTGTCTCCGACCCACATTGACCGGTAGCTGCCAATCTACGCTCCTACCCCACATACCGCCGTAACCAACGCATATAGAGCATGAGTCATCTGTGCTACAGACATACCAGCATTGCCTTGATGAGAAAGAACACCGTATAGGCATTGTAATGTTCCTAAATTTCCCATGGTAAAAAATGTATCTGAGAGAAAATTTATAAATATTTCTCCATTGAATTTCAGATATTTTATACATTTAATTACGAAATAAATTTTCTGAAAAATTGAAGGAGAAATATACATACTTGTCCAGGAAAATTGGTATTTTATTAAATGAAATTGCGGGCAACGTTTGCAGGCTCATATGCCGTTTCTCCCGAGCACACGTTTCATCGATTCATTTTCAAATAATTAATCTTGATCACAGTAAATTTCACGAGGAAGTTCACTGTTTGAAATGCTATGACATCTTGTCACCCTCAATGAGAAATAAATTCATCCATCTTAGGGGTAGCATCATTTTTTGAGGGAGAGCCCTCATCCGTTTATACTTGTAAATATGACATTTTTTTGCGCTAAAAAGAGGCTTAGCGTCTCCTGAAGGAGACAAGACAAAGGAGGGGGATGGTTGCAGACATAAACTTCCGAGACACGAAGAGAGAATCCTCATTGTAAGAGTGTACTGGAAAAAAAAGAAGAAAAAATCACTGAGCGAAAGAGGAGTAGAGA